CTGCACTGCCCTATAACCTCTGGGATGCAGGGAACACTCCCTTTACTTTGAGATACACACTGAAGTCTTTGCATTTGTATGCCTTTTTGCTCTTTTTCTTTTACCTTTTTAAAAATAATATGAGATTATAATATACTGGCTTGCTGTAACAGTGGGTAATCAGCTTATTTGCACTATCTTTGAAATAATTTTCTCTCCTTTTCCACTCCATTTTCTTGTTGTCTTCCCACCCAGGCCTCCCTGTGGACCATGCCCAGCTCTCCTCCCTTGTGCTGAAGAGTCCCCTAGGCTTGAGCCCAGCCTTTCAGGTGAATGCAGTGGCTCAGGGCTCGTCCCCTCTGCTGAGCCCTGTCCTCAGCGATGCTGGCGGGGCCAGGATAGAAGAGGATGACGAAATGAAGAGGAAGGTAAGAGCACAGAGCTGGGGAGTGATGGTGCCATGTGGGGGGTGTTGCAGGTGTGAGGTGGGAGCTGTGCTTGCTGGCTGCTGAATGCTGATTGTGTTTTATCCTGTGGTGGCTGTGGCAAAACTCCGGTGCTGAAGGTTTGTTGGATGTGTTGCACTGGGAGTCCCCGGTGCCCTTGTGGCATCTTCTTGTGTCTTCTTGGCATGGCCACTGGGACCATCTCCCTCTGTTTTAGCAGGAGCAGTTTGTCAGGGCACTGTGTTCAAAATCCACCTTTTGTACCCCAGAATTCACCTTTTGTACCCAAGGAAACGAGCTCAGGTTGGATATTAGGGAAAGGTTCTTCACCCCAAGGCTGATCCCTGGACCAGGTTCCTTAGGGAAGTGATCACGACACCAAGCTTAACAAAGATCAAGGAATATCTGGATGATGCCCCTTGTCATATGGTTTATTTTCAGGTGGATTTGTAAGGAGTGGGGAGCTGGACACAATGATCCTCAGAGATCCTTATTTGTTAATGTATAAGGAGTTTGTTTCCTGGGTTCCTTCCTTCCAATGCAGTCTTGCCATGGTCTCATTGGTCCATCTCACCATACATTGTTCCTCCAGCTCATCCTTTCTGATCATAACAGGACCTTTAGACCTGTGGTGTTCCCCTTGAGCTGTGGAGGACCTGAACTCAGTGTGAATTCTCTCACATCCCTTTCATCATGGGCTTGGTCAGCAGAGCTGGCCGTGTTGTTGAAGTTGTCCTCTCCATGGCTCACCCTTCTCTCTGGAGAGAGGTGGACAGTGCTCTGGCCTTGCAGAAGCTTGAGTCTCACTTTCTGGAAAGAGGGGGACAGAAATATCCCCGAGTCTTGCAGGTGCAGTGAGTCTCAAAGCAGGAACAGCTTTGGGTCTTCAAGATGTGCTTATGTCTGGGTGCTGCTTTCTTTCTGCCTACCAGTGAGCACTGGTTGCTTTAACCAGGGACTCCCCCACATGATGTGGGGTTTTCCTCACCCCCATGTAGAGCTCAGGATTTGCTGCTTTTCTTCCAGTAGGATAAAGAAGTCCACCTAACAGTAGAGTTCCACGACCATTTTTCTGGAAGACTCTCTGCTCTCCTTGCCTTGTTTGCAGAGAAGTTTGTTGGCTCTGGTGCTTGAGAAAGACCCAGGACCTTCCATTACAGTGCAAGGAAGGCTCCACTGTCCAAACTCAGCTCCTTATGGAGCCAGTGGCCACACTGGGATTTCCATACAGCCACAAAGAAGAAGAAACCACCTTGTGTGATTTTTGCTTCTGCTCTTCTGCTTGCCCCATCCAGTGTTCTGGTTTCTTACCTCTGTCAGGATCAGGATCCTCAGGCAAGAAGGTCACAGCCCCCTGCTCTTTGGTGTCTTCACCACATTCTTGGGCACCTCCAGGCACTTTTGTGATGCTGTTGAGAAACACCCATGGAGTGGACATGGTGTAAGTGCTTGCCAGAGAGAGGAGGGTTTAACCTGTAAGTGGGAGCTGAGCTGCAGACAACCCACCCGACTGGCAGCTTCCCTGTCTCATTTAGACTTCTTGAGGTGGAGTTTATAGCTTTGGCTGATCACTCTACTTCTAGTTTCCATAGTTATTTTAAAAATAACTCTTCTCATTTATCCTTATAGCTTGGAAATAATGAGCAGAGATTGTGTTAGCTGACTGAAATGTGAAGCCCAACCCCTTTCTGCCACATTCTGTGAGGCTTGGTGTTTTGGCAGCTTGTGTTCTCCTTCAGGCTGAAACTAATTTATGAGACTCCTTAGAAGGGAACTTCTTTTTATTTTATTGCTCTTAATCTTGGTCAACTCCTGAGTATTCCAAGGATCTGATATCTATTCGGAGACATTGTTTTAAGTGAAACATACACAGGAGGAAACCAGTGTGAAATTGGTTACATTTCACAGGAGCTTTACAGCTTTGTTGTACAAGAAAAATGTAATCTTACAATATCTCTCTGACTAGAGCTCTGATTTGAAGGTGATACTGCTGTACTTCCACGTGGTTAATCAGGACATGTTCTGCAAACTCTCCAGCCCTCACAATGTGCTGTCTGCTTTTTGCTGCCATGGTGCTGCTGGTCCAGTACTGATACCTTGAGAAAGATGAGGCTTTTTTTTATTTTTAAATCACTGTGCTTTTCTTTCATCTCACTGGTAGATTTCTCCCTGTTTCTTTTCTAATGGATGTTGGTTGTAGCAGCCCACTTATAAAAGGGCATTGAAGCTGGGCTTTTTGGGGGAGTTCCCCCACTCAGAGTTATTTTTAACACTTCTGAAGCCTGGTGTTTGAAGTGAGAAGTCAAACATTTTTGACCATTACAAGTTCAGAGTAAAACTCTTCACTCCCCACAAGCTGGGGTTGCTGCATCTGGTGAGTGTTGAAGGTTTCCAGGTGGGATTGTTTGTGCATTATATGGTGAAACACCAGTTTTTCCAAGTGGGGATCTTTGCATTGATGCCTGCTATGGTTGTAGAAACATTTTCTTTGGACTCTAGAAGGAGACTGCTGCCTCAGAGAGTTTTTGTGTTTGGCTTTTGAGACATGAGCTGGTTTTCTTTCTCCGTGCAGAGCCTGAGCAGTAGTGAAGGTGTTTGGCAGGGCCCCTGTTCACTCTGACAGCCTTTCTTCTCCTCTGGTGCAGGGTCTGCTCAGCAGCTGCTGCCAGCACACAGCACAAGGGATGTACTTAGGACTGATGCAAGACTGAAAAAAAGCAAGTTAAGGGCACTAAATTCCAGCAGGGAGCAATTTAGAAAGAGCAGGAACTTCTGAGAATAAACAGAAAGGGCTGATGTGCTGGGGAGGGAAAAAGGAAGAGAAGATGCCAGGAAAAATAAAAGCCCTCTTGTGCCCCAGGTTAGCACAGTCAGCTGGAGAATGAAGCAGGGACCTGCAGAAGTGTTCAGAGGTGGAGAAAAAACATGATCCATGCAGGCTATGAGAAGTGACAGGTTATGACCATGTGGTGGTTTTAGTTTTTAAAAAAGTTCTCCCATCACTACCTGCCTGTGTAGAAGTCGTGCTCCCATGTTTTCACACACCTGCATGCTGTGTAAGATTTCAAAGAAGTGCAATAAGATCCTGTGCATAGTCCAGCCATAGTACCCAGGGCTGTGCAAAAACATCTCTGACAGCAGAAACTCTCCTGCCATGTAAGGAACTGCTGGGAAGTGGCTCCAGGGAGGCCAGAAAAATGATGATATTTCCTTTGGGAAGAGGCTGCTTATGAAGGATGCCCACTGAGATTCCACAGTATATGAGGCTGCAGTCAGGTAAATAGTCCAAGGAAAAAAGCCAAGATCAGGTAGGACTTTGCCTGACAGCATGTACCTGAGACAGGTAGATTGAAGCTTAGGGGATGGTTATGGAGTGAGCAGGAGTATGTTGTCCTCTGCTTCATCCAGAGAGTGGGCTGACATGTGGAACTATAATAACTAGCATAAAATAACCTGAAAAGAGACTAGACAGTGTCTCTAATTATTTGAGGGTACGCACCTCTTTGGATTTTCTGGACTCAATAGAGAGGTTATTGAACAACCAGGAGAATGTCTCCTCCATGGGTAACATTGAGCTGGAGGATTGGGAAACACTCAGTAGCTGTGCTGACAGCACTGGAGGCATCTCAAAGTGACTCTATAAAGAGAATTTTTAATTAACTCAGAAAAACAAGGAAACAGAAGAAAGAATTTTCAAAGCAGTGTTTCCCTCAGGAGGGCAGAGATGGAGGAGACCAAATTTTGGCATAACTCAGTGGCATTTGGCAGAGAACTACAGCACAGCATTGTGAGCTAAGGAGACAAAGCAGTCCCTTACCTTGAAGAGTGACTATTTCCTTAACACTACATGATTTCTAGTAATATATGTTTTCAGAATAACTCTGATTTTTTGTTGTAAATGCACAACATCTCTTGCCACAATTTCATTCCTTTGTTTTTCCATATCCATTCTATCTTCTATTTAAAGAGCAGCCCAGAGCAATTGTGCCAACAACTGCTGCAGTTTGATTTCCTTTTTTTCTTAGCTAATTAATATGGTATTCAAATGAGTAGCTTGAGTAAAAGCTGTAAGTGGAAAGAAAGTTTTGGAAAAGGACTGTTTGCAAATCTGTTGGGCTGTGTTTGGTGGTTAGAGAAGTGTTTAAAATCTTGGTATCTTGGATTAAGTGCTTCCATATTTTTGTAAAGTGGTCCCTTGATTTGAGGTGGAAGTTCATGTAATGGAAGTGTCCAAGGCCAGGTTGGACAGGGCTTGGAGCACCCTGGTGTAGTGGAAGTTGTCCCTGCCCATGGCAGGGGGTTGGAATTATATAAACTTTAAGGTTCCTTCTAACCTAAACCATCTGTGATTCTGCGATAATTGACATTATTTTTTAATACTCTAACAATATAAAGAATATTTTAAAGTCAAGTCAGTATTTGGGAGTGTGACACTGAAGGAAGAGATGTCCTGTTAGTAATGAGCTGCTCCACTTGCACACAGCAAGGGGAAGTGGGTGTGAGGTTTGAGCTGATGCCCAGTGGGAAATAGAGGTTTGTGTTTCAGTACTGACTGCTGGCTGTGTGTCCTTCCAGCGCTGCCCCAGCGACAAGGCTTACTTCATAGCAAAGGAGATCCTTGCCACAGAACGCACCTATTTAAAGGACCTGGAGGTTATTACAGTGGTAAGTGGGTTTGACTTTATTTTTTTTTCCCTTTTTATGATGATTTGTGATTGTTAGGTTGGAAAATCTTGGAATTTCTTCTTGTGATGTAGCATTAATCCATGCACCAAGTAGCGGTCCCCTTCCTTGTTCCATACCTCCTTCTGTGGGAGAGCAGACACCTCCTCTGGACTTGCTCCAGCAGCTACATCCTGTGTCATCCTGATGACCTAGGCAAACTTTTGGTCTGAAAACTGAACAAGGAAAGCCTAAAAACATTTTGCAGGAATCCTTAACCTTGAAGAATGACTGATTTGTTAATATTACATGATTTTTAGTAATATGTTTTCAGGCTAACTCTGATTTTGTGTTACAACTGCACAACATTCAGTTTCAGTAATATCTGCCAGCTCTGCTTATAAGCTGGCTGTCTTCTCCATGGTTTTCCTTGGGAAGCTTTGAGCCTTGGAAAACTTTTAGCCTTGTGCCTTTGGATCTGTGAGCAGATGACAGCTGCAAAGGGCATCGAACCCATGGGGGTTTGAAGAGTTTCTTCTTGTTTTGTTGCTTCTGTTTCTTCCTCCTCCTTTCACTCAGAATAGACAAGTGAGTCCCAATTTCTAGTTCATGTGCTTCTAAAAGAGCTTTTTTGTTCATGAACTCCATGTTTGAGCACTGTGACTGTGCCTTTCTATAAGCTGTTGTTTTAATTTCATTAAAGAAAAGCTTGAGTCCCTCAGTGCTGCGTGGCCTCAGTGGAGGTGTTCTCTGCAAGCTCATTGAGCACCATCTCACTCCAATTCCTCCTACAGGCTTCCCAGCACTTCTCCTAAAAGAAGGGGGAACAGCTCAGAAAAATCTCAGAGGATTTTTGTAATATCCCCGTCCCTGCCAGAAGCGGGGACCCAGAAGCGCTAAAGTGTGGAGTGTGACCTCAACGAGATGCCTCCAGCTGGGTGACTTGCACAGGGCTCCAGGCCTATGAGAGCAGTTTTATCTGCGTGGAAGTGGCAGCAGCTGGGGCAGCCACTGGGTAACTGACTGTCACTCAGCTGTCCCCAACCATCCCATCATTGCATTCAGAAACAAGCTTGTGCCCAGAGCCAGCCATGGGCCTCATCTTCCTCTTATTTGGCAAGGAAAAAAAAAATCCCATCTTTTCATTTTTCACAAATTACGTCTTCCCTAAATATTACATCTTCCTTCCTGCTTTTTCCCTGTGCATACTCTCTCCTCCCCCATCACTGCAGGAGCAGGAATTTTCATGCTAACAATGACTTTCTGAAGCAGAGGCACTGATGAGAATGTCTGGGTCTCTGGCAGTGGTTCCGCAGTGCTGTGATCAAGGAGAACGCCATGCCAGAGGGCCTGATGACGCTGCTCTTCTCCAACATTGACCCCATCTACGAGTTCCACCGAGCCTTTCTGAAGGAGATTGAACAAAGGCTCTCACTCTGGTAAGTGAGCAGGGGGGACCTTTCTATACATCCTCACGTCAAAACCAGACTACAATTGTCATTTCTGCATCAATAGGAGCAAGGAGAAGTCTTTCATGAAATTAAAGCTATGAAAAAAGTACAAACTATGTTGCACAAAGGCCATTTTCTAAGCTTTGCCTTGTATACAATATCCTGTAGTTGTATGACTTGTGCACCAGACTGAAGGTTTTGTAATCACAGGATCATTTCGCTTGGAAAACACGTTTAAGATCATCAGTTGTTGATATAATCTGATAGTGTCTCTCAAGCCTTAGAAAAAAGAAGGAACACAAGATCAAAAAGATGATGTGTGTGGTTTTTTCCACACCTTCCAGTTAATGAATCTCCAGGTGAAAATCTAGGAAACATTTTTGTGATTAAGGTGGGAGTTTGGTTCTTGCAATGCAGTTTATTTTACAGATGATGTTTTTAGTTTTTAAACTTTGTATTATTTTCTCCTGACCTGACATGTTGTATATTACAGTATATAACATATATACTGTATATACTCACCTTTTCAAAAGGAGGTGATTGACATAAACAAAGTATGAACAAAAATAAATTCACAAAATCAGGTGGGGTCGTGTTATGACATTTATTTGGAGGTTTGAAACATAAAGACTTTCACACAAGTTCATTTCTAGTCCTTTCTCAGTTTGTTGAGCATGTCTTTGTGTTAGCTGTTTTGTGCATTTAATGTACCAAGTTTTCAATCTGAACAGTGAAATAGTGTTGTCAAATGCCTAAAGATTTTCAGGAATTACAAGGGAAGATGGAGGGAGCAAACAGAAATGTCTTGATGCCCCATGTATGTGCCCTTCTCTCCTCCCTCTGTGTGTTCCAGGGAGGGCAGAAGCAATGCTCACGTGAAAGGGGATTTCCAGCGCATCGGAGATGTCCTGCTCAGGAACATGCGCACTCTGAAGGTACACACAGGACTCAAGATGTGGGATGTGGGATTGTTGAGGTGTTCTGTTTTGTTTTGTTTTGTTTTGTTTTGTTTTGTTTTGTTTTGTTTTGTTTTGTTTTGTTTTGTTAAGGAGCAGAGCTCAGGGTTATTATTTCCCTTAATCACAGACTCCCAGGAGGGTTTGGGTTAGAAGTGGCCTTAAAGCCCATCTCATCCCAGCCCCTGCCATGGGCAGGGACACCTTCCACTTGCTACACCAAGGTGCTCCAAGCCCTGCCCAGCCTGGCCTTGGACACTTCCAGGGATGCAGGGTAGTCCCAACTTCTCTGGGCAACCTGTGCCAGGGCCTCTCCACCTGTTATGGTCTGGTTCTTAAAATTAATAGAAATGGAAAAAAAAATTGAAATGCAAATGAGGCCATATGCCAAAGTCAATAGTATGGGCTTTATTTAATAGTAAATATCAGAGAGAGAGAGAGAGAGAGAAGAAAGAGAAAGAAAAGAGACAGAGGAACAGAAAGAGAGGGACAGAGACAGATTAAAGAAAATATCACTGTTCAGTACATCCCACCAGTGTCTTGATGATCCTGTCCAGCTGGTCTTCTTGATGGTGAGGGTCCCCCACAAAACATTGAATCCAAGGGATAAATATATGCTCAGGCCAGGTGGAATGCCCAGGTACCTCCCCTGGAGGGGGGATAACTCTTACACAGTCTGTTGCAGCAGACTGAATCACTTTGCATCCCATGCAGTCCTGTGGTGCAAGGGCACAGGAATAAGTCTGGGGAGCACTTTGGAGGGATGGATTATGACCCCACCCCAGCTGCTTCCCACATTCATGTCCCATGGATGTGGCCTTCTTGGGGTTGGGGGGGTTTTACAACTAATCCAGTTGGTGTAAGGGTGTTCACTGCCTCTGACAGGAGGTTTCACCACTCACCCAAAACTCTCCTCCTCTCCCCTTTGTTTGGGGTTTCTGTGCAGACTTGGCCTCTTGGGCTATGGCCTCCCCCACCCAAACCCAGCCAGGAATGATTTTCTACTGGGTTTGGCTTCCTTGGGTATGCATTCTTTTCCCTCTGCCTTGTTTACTTCTCCCTAGACCCATGATTATTGAATAATAGTGTTCCCTTTATCTTATCAAGGCATCTTTACTCACAGTCCAAAGTTCCAGTCAGGCATCTTCAGGGAGGGCTGGGCTTCTGTGGCTGTAGCTTCTTTATACATTTTGGCCATAACAGGCAAAAGGTTCCTAACAATGTTTAAGCCATGAACTATCAGATTCTAGTATCTAACACCACCCTCATAGGGAAGAATTTCTTTCCAATATCCCATCTAAACCTTTTCTTTTTCAGTTGATCTTGAAGTAACTTGCAAACAGTTATTGTTGAGAAAGAATTTGAAATGAAAACATGGTAAAATAATTACAGGAAGGTTTTGTATCACTATTGCTTATTTAAGCACCTATATTTAGAGAAAAGCACCTACATTGAGAATAGGTGTTTGTTGGTTATTCAGCAGAAAACAAAGAAAAGTTATTTATTCAGCGCCCCTATTGAGACCTTGATTCACAAGGTTATTTAATTTAAAAATATACATATTTTTTAAGGGCAGAATATTTTTTTTCTGCAATGAAGTCAACTTTATTTGGAGCAGAGTGCCTATGTGGGACAGTTGCATTAGCAGTGGAGCTGCAGCAGTGGAGTAATTATTTAATTAAAACCAGTGGCTTGACTGGGAGTGCAGGAGTGTGGGACTGCTATTTCCACCAGCAGCATTTGATATTCCCAGCAGGCACAGGCACAATGCTATACAAACACCTATTTTGGCCTTGACTAGGAGCTTCCTGCCACGTCCTTTAATGATGAAAATGATGAAAGACTGTTCTCCTTTGATCCAAGTAACTTTTTGTCCAATTCCACAGGAGTTCACCAGTTACCTGCAGAAACACGACGAGGTCCTGACGGAACTGGAGAAAGCAACCAAACGCCTCAAGAAGCTGGAGATGGTTTATAAGGAGTTTGAGCTGCAGAAGGTTTGCTACCTGCCCCTCAACACCTTTCTGCTCAAACCCATCCAGAGGCTGATGCACTACAAGCTGATCCTGGGGAGGCTGTGCAAGCACTACACAGCAGAGCACCGGGACTTCGCCGACTGCCGCAGTGAGTGAGCACCAGTGGGTCCTGCTGGCAGCACCCTCCCCATGGACATCCCAAACTCTGCCTGTGCCCTGGGAAGACAAGAATTACACACTCATAGAATCTCAGAATGATTTGGGTTCAAAGGGACCTTAAAACTTATCTCATTCCCCTTCTACTATGGACAGGGATCATTTTACTAGACCAGGATGCTCAGAACACCGTTCAACCTGGCCTTGAACATTTGGGTTCACTTATTTTCAATAAAATCCATGGTTTCAATGTAAGTGCTTCTTTATCCTGGCATTCCAGGAAGTGGTTTTCTCAATGCTTCAACCAAAGCTGGAACATTAGTCCTTTTCTTCTTTTCTAGCAGGGAATAAAAAGAGGAGTTTTTTTTACAAACTTTTTGTCATTTAGAAGTAAAAATATGACCAAAAAATGTTTGTTTTGCAGCATCAGAAGCTTGTGTATTAAATTCCATTACTGACAAAGTAATCTTTGGCAGAAGTAGTTTGGTTTGAATTTTTTTTTCATTTACTTTCAGCTGCATGGAAAATACTTTTTGTTTAAGCAAAATCTCAGATACACAATGATCTGCAGAAGCATAGGAAATGCTGTGCTCTTTTTACCCTTTTCTAAAATACACTTAAATTGTCATTTGGACTGGGTGATCATTGTAGGTTCCTTCCATATGAACCATTCTGTTCTAAAATTTGCTGTGAATTTCAGATTCAGTTTTTCAGGGGTGGAATGGGTGGCCTGGGTTGCTCTGCTCTGGTCCCACTGGTGCTGTTCTCCACACAGGTGCCCTGAAGGAAGTCACAGAAATGACCTCACAGCTGCAGCACAGCCTCATCCGCCTGGAGAACTTCCAGAAGCTTACAGAGCTGCAGCATGACCTGATTGGGATAGACAATCTCACAGCACCTGGCAGGGTAAGTGCCTCTGCTTAGTTTTTAGAGCCTTTGTTGGTTTTATTTCCAAGGAAGTGCCTTTGAAGTGTGGATTTGCCATCACTGCCCCTCTGGTCTATGTGACAACTGTGAAGGCTTCATGTAACTGTCTCTTCGTGGTTACCATGGATGATGGGGTCCTCACCTTGGTGATACTCTGAGGAATAGATAGAAAAGCTTCTGCTTAAACTCTGGCTGCAGTTTTGTTTTCCAGTACAGATCCTGGCTGTACTGGGCTGTGGTGCTCTGTGCATGAGTGGGAACTGCTGTGTCCTACTGGAAATGCACTCCCAGCTCTGCTTGTGTCTGCCTGGTGCAAGCACAGGGAGCACAGGGATGATGAGAGCCACAGCACTGGGCTGAACTGGTGTGGGTGCCTCTGTATTACAGGAGCTTGTGCAGGTCCTGCCTGGTTTTTTGTTTCTTTGTTTTTGATAGATGTACTGGGCATAAATACAGGAGCATCACAATGTGCTTTGGGGATGCTTTGGCAGTCACTGCAGTGGGATGAAAGTGTGATAGGTGAACTGCTGGAGTCCAACAGGAATTCTGCTCCTTTCCCTTCTTTTTCTTCACTGATTTAAATGCTGGCTGTAGCAAGGAGCTGATTCATGTCACAAAAAAGGAAGAAAAGTGTTGTCGGGCCTCTTAAGAAATCTGTTTGTGGTCATTGCTGAGCACCAATCAACATCTGTGTACTCTGAGATCAAAATAAAATCCCTCAAGTCAGGAAAGATCAAACGTTGTTTAACTTTTTCTTTTCCACTGCAGGAGTTTATCCGGGAAGGTTGCTTGTACAAGCTCACTAAGAAGGGCTTACAGCAGCGGATGTTCTTTCTGGTGGGTGTTGCTCCTGATTTTTATAAACCCAAAGTCTTCAAGATAAAGTTGTTGGGGAGGTGTGTTTTCATGTGCTTGTGCTTAAAATCAGCACCTGAGACTGAAAACTCACTCTAAGCAATGTTTTTAGAGGGCGTGGTTGTGGTCAAATGGATTCTTTAATGGCACAGAGTTTTAACAGAATTTAAAAATTAATTTCCTCTTTTGTAAGTAAACAAAAGAGAGGTTGAAAAGGTAGTTGGCCAAACTGAGAAATAGTATTTTTCATGCATCTACAATGGCCTTTAAACAACAAATTTTTAAGGAGATGTCAAAAAATCCTTGGCCCTGCCTGCTGCTTTCAGAACACTGATTGTTCTCTTCCTGCCTTTCCAGTTCTCAGATATGTTACTGTACACAAGCAAAGGGGTCACAGGGACAAATCAGTTCAAAATCCACGGACACCTCTCTCTGCATGGCATGTTGGTAAGTGGTTCCATGTTGCACTACAAGGTTAAGGAAATGGCTTTGCCTAAGGCAGGCTGAAGAATTCCTTCAGGGCACAAGGACCAAAGCCACAAACTGCTCCAAGGCAGGTCTCAGCAGCAATTGGACTTGGTGTGTGTCAAAGAGAGCTTTCTTCATCTGCAGGTGATGAGTCTGTTCCTTCCACATTAACAAAGCAGCTGGAGCACAGCCTGTTGCCCATTCGTTTTCACACTGCTGCGAGAGGCTGATCTGGAAATAGGGATTTATTTATCCTGTTGTTTTGTTCCCCTGCACACACCTGGCATGTAATCAATCCTCCTGCCTCCCCACACCTTTTCTAACAGGATTGTTCTTTCTGTCTTTGGTTTGCAGCTGATAGTGCTGGACCCCCCGGTGAGTAATGAGGCAAATCTGCTCCAACCCCTTCCTTTCCTTGTCCTGCTGGAAGTGGTGTTGTGCCCCTGCAGTAGAAACACACCATAGATTTTCATATAGAGCCAAAATAGACTTGAAAGTAGGTGGTATTCATCAAAGAATTGCTGTTTTGCACTTCCTGCAGGTTGGAATCCTCTTTGACTCCAGTCCCAGCCAGCACAGTTCTAGTGTTTATTGGTGACTGAGCACTGATGAGAAAAATCATTTCTTTTCCTGCAGGTGGAGGAGAGTGAGAATGAGTGGTCTGTCCCACACTGCTTCACAATCTATTCTGTACAGAAAACCATAGTGGTGGCAGCCAGGTAATCCTAGTTTTCCTGTGGTTTTGATGGATTCCTTCTCCAGAAAGTTACTGCTCAAGTGCTGCAGGGCCAGAGGGGTGTTTCATGCATCCTCTGAACTTCAAAATAAGCCCAGGACTCTTCACAGCTCACTTTGCAGTGTTGGATTTTGGGAAGCAGTAGTTTATCTCGGGCTGATCTCAGCGTGGGCAGCAGGAAAGGGATTGGGATTCTGCCCCTCTGCCCTGCTCAGGTGAGAGCCCACCTGCAGAGCTGCCCCAGCCCTGTCCCAGCACAGGGAGGAGCTGGAGCTGCTGGAGAGAGCCCAGAGGAGGCACCAGGGTGAGCAGAGGGATGGAGCAGCTCTGCTGGGGGAAAGGCTGGGAGAGCTGGGATGGTTCACCTGGAGAAGAGAAGCTCTGGGGTGACCAAATTGTGGCCTTGCAGTGCCTGAAGGGGCTGACAAGGAAGATGGAAAAAGACTTTGGACAGGGGCCTGTAGGGACAGGACAAGGGGGAATGGCTCCCCACTGCCAGGGGGCAGGGTTAGATGGGATATTGGGAAGGAATTGTTCCCTGTGAAGGTGGTGAGGCCTGGCACAGTTATCCAGAGAAGCTGTGGCTGCCCCATCCCTGGAAATGTCCAAGGCCAGGTTGGACAGGGCTTGGAGCACCCTGGTGTAGTGGAAGGTGTCCCTGCTCTCATGGAGTGGGATGAGATGGGCTTTAAGGTCCCTTCCCACCCAAACCATCCTGTGATTCTGTGTTTCTGTCTGACCCAAAACACAAACAGCAGCAATAAGTTTGCCATTGTGTTTGCTTATTTGGGATTTGCCAGTGTCATCCTTCAAACCACTTCAGGAGACAAAATCTAAACATACAAATATTTTAGAGACTCAAAAGAATTAAAATTCAGAACATACAAATTGCTGTGAGGAGAGGAGAGTTCCTGCAGAACGTCATGGAGGAAGCTGGAAAAAAATTAAAGGCTGACTTGGAAATAAAAACCAATCCTTTTTCAGCCTAAATTATCCCTATGCAATGAGTTTGGTGACTTTTTGTAATTAGAATGGCTCCTACACTTGGTATCAGGATCAGGTTTAGGAGTTTTTGTCTTTCCGCAAGTCTGCTGTGAAAACCCAGCTGGAATCAGGAATGCCAACGATGCAGGGTGGGAACACTAAATCTCAACCTTAAATCTTAGGGTTTTTACTGCTTGATGACTTGTTCTTGAAAAATAGCCACTAGTATATTTATAAATCAGGTGTGTAGTGGCACAGGAGCTGATAAGTTTGGTATGCAGATGTATTTTTAAAAATTCCAATCTAACACCTGAGAATGCAATTTTTTTAAGATCAACCATTACTCAGCAGCTGTGAGTCATAAGGTGCTTGAAAGATTCCTAAATTTAGAAAAATAGATGGAATTTTTACCTTGTCATGACTTTAAAATAGCTCAAGGTTTACCTGTCAAAAATAAAAATTGCTGCTAGGCTTAGACCACGTGTGGAATTTTCAGTCTAAATTAAAAACTTTCCAAAAAAAAAGAGGTGGTTACCAGAACAAAGAAATGTGGCTGTGTCTAAGGCCAAGCCTTCCAGTGTTGCATTCCTGTGGATACAGATACACCTTGAAGGGCTGTGAAGGTCTCACCTTGTAGTGGATCCTGGGATGGGGAAGGAAGTTTCCTCTTCCTGTGCTCTGGGTTTTACTTGCTTGAGATGCCAGGTAGATCCCAGATGCCATTTAAAAGATGGGCTGTGCTTCAGCCTGCCATTTATCCTTCCAAAAAATCATGGCTCATATCCCCCATCTCCAGAATTCCTCTCCTGACCCCTGCCAGCTGTCTGTTCAATTTATTTGCTGTAAAGTCCAAGTGTTTAATTGTTAGTTTAGTCTTGTTTCAAGACTTGACTATAGAGGTGGTGGCTCTATGAGGTCAGTTTCCTCTATGGAAACTCCTGCTTTAGAGGAATTCTAATTTTGGTTTCATTTATCTAATGGAAGGACTCTGTCCCACGTTTTGGGCAGTGACCTGTGCCTTCAGCACACAGGCACAGGGTGGCAGATCTGGGCTGGCAGATCCCCATTCCCACTGCTTCCCTTGCAGTACCCGCCTGGAGATGGGCAAGTGGATGGAAGACCTGAATGTGGCAATTGAAATGGCCAAGAAATCTACAGAGAAATCTGAGATGTTTCTGGAAAACTCCGTGTGCAACCGCTCCAACAGTAAGTGGTGTTCCCTGCCTCCTTGAAAAGCAGCAGTTGTCCTGTCCTTTCTGCTTTCCTTTTGTGAGTTTGATGACATAAATGACATATTTTTATAATTTGTATGATAATGTAGAATTAGTTGGACTTTGGTTTTTATAAAAAAATATATTCTTGTCTTCCTAGACTGATGTTCAAGGTACCTTTAAATGCAGCAGAGATGCTCCCATTGCAGAGTTGTTAATTTTATAAGGTCCTTAGTCACCCTTTACATAGATTTTTCTCAATGTAACTAAATGGTGAGGTATTTTTGTCCAAAATTAGTGTCTCTGGAGGTCAGCTTTTACAGTCCAGTATTCCTGTGCTTGTCTGGTGGTGTTATGGCTGTGCTGAAATGTGGAGTATTTTTTCTTGGAGACCTCTGTTCTGTTCCTTGACTCAAGATGAAATGTGGTGGTTTTTGCTTGTTGGACAAAGCACTGACTCAAACCGCTCTGTGATTTTATTCTAGTGGAAGGTGTCCCTGCCAGTGGCAGGGGGTTGGAATGATGAGCTTTAAGGTCCCTTCCAACCCAGACCATCCTTTGATCCTGTGAGTCAGCTGCCCCAGGCAGAACTGAGTTATGAAACCCAGATTGATGTGCTTAAAGCATTCATAGGAGCTGTGTAACCAGCTCAGCTTGACATACTTAAACCTGGACCATGGCAAGAGAAAACCGCCTTTCTCAGGAATCCCAGCTTCTCTTGCTTTTTGTATTGCACGGTTTTCTTAAACCACTACCCAATTCTCCTCCCCCAGGATCCTCTGATGAGGTCTCTGTAGAACAGGAGTCCGAAGATGACATTCACTCCTCCCGTAGCTCCTTGGACAGGCAGAGCCACCACCGTGCCAACACCACCATGCACGTGTGCTGGTACCGCAACACCAGCGTCTCCATGGCCGACCACAGCGCGGCCGTCGAGGTACCGAGGGCGCGGCGCTGGCCCTCCTGCCCCGGCCCCGTCTCCCACCGGGCCTTGGCAGAGCTCCTGTGTCCAGGGAGAGCCAGGGAGAGCGTGGGCCACCCACCCCTCTGCATGCTGTCCCCTCTGTGCTGCCTGTGTGTCTGCACTCGCGCTCTCCGTGCAGCGGGGCCAAAGCAGGGAAGGGTTAAAGGACACCCGGGATATGTGGGACTGAATTGCTCCTTTGGGTTTCACCCTGCTTGCTGGAGGACTGAGCATCCCCTGTGCTGGGCACTGCACCTCAAATCCTGGGGTCAGTTTTGGGCCCCTCGTGACAAGAAGGGCATTGAGGAGCGTGTCCAGAGAATGACAGTGGAGCTGGAGGAGGGTCTGGAGCACCAGGAGGCTGCAGGGGCTCAGCCTGGAGAAAAGGAGGCTCAGGGGAACCTTCTGGCTCTGCACAACTCCTGACAGGAGAGGACAGCCAGGTGGAGGTTGGGCTCTGCTCCCAGGGAACAAGGGGTAGAACAACAGGGAATGGCCTCAAGCTGCACAGTGGAGGTTCAGGTTGGAATCAGAAAGAATTTTTTCACAAAAAGAGTGGTTAAACATTGGAACAGGCTGCCCAGGGCAGTGGTGGGGTCACTATCTATCCCCAGAAATTTTCAGAGAATGTGTGGATGTGGCATTTTGCCAAATTGTTCAGTGGGATTTGGTCAAAGGTTGGACTTGATGATCTTGGAGGTCTTTTTCAACCTTAATGGTTCTATGATTATAATGGTTCCCTATCCATGATATTTTCCTTTAGAGACTGACTGTGCTGTACTGAGTTCTGGTTAGCTGCTGTACTGCACCCAGAATGAAGAAGAGAGGGTTCAGTTGGAATTCTCTGCCCTTCCCTTGCTGGCAGGACTGAGCAGCCTTTTCATGGCAGTATCATTTTATGCTGAGCAGAGATGTTTTTTATGTGCCCACGGAGGTGTTCAAGGCCAGGCTGGATGGGAGTCTGAGCAACCTGGTCTAGTGGGTTGGAACCAGATGAGCCCCAAGGTTCCTTCCAACCCAAACCTTTTTGGGATTCTGTGAGCCACTGGTACTTGCAGTCTTGCTGATACTCACAGTTCAAGGCAGCACTGGTGGCACATTTGGGCACTGAATCCTGCAGATTTTGAGACTGATCAACTCAGCACTCCTTACACTGCTTGTACCAGTGCTATGGTTTTACTTTAGGTAGCAGTTTGGCAGGGTAGGACACCTAACTGGAGGCTGCATGCTTGGAAGGCTTCCAGAAGTGGGAAGGACCCTAAATAACATGGACAGAAAAAAGAGGTCACTAACCTGACAAAAGCAATGGGCAGGAGGCTGTGTCTGTGCCTGCCTGTCCTGCTCTGCTCTTGTTTAAGTGGACTTAAAAGTTTGGGCACTGGAGCTCCTGTGTTTTTCTGAGAGACAGTGTGGATCAGCTTGGTAAGGGAAGTGCTATAGATGTGACCTGGGCTTGAGGTACAGACACTGGGCACTTGAGCTGGCTTCTGTTGTGGTTTCTGTTGGAGGGGACAGGCCCTTCCCTGCTGACACCTTGGGAAAGACACCAGTTCACAGTTCTGTGCATGGACAACAAGCTCAGCCTGCTACAGCTTCTGGGATTGAATGTGTGACTTCTTGCACTCGCTCTGACCTATTCCATGTTCTAACACTGTCATTTTTTTCACAATCCATTTTCCTTTGACAGCCACCTTTCTTGCATCACTCCTTTCATCCTAACATTCTGTTTTTCTCTTTCTCTCCCCCTTTCTCTGCTCAGTTTTCTGCTCTCTTGCTGTTTCTCCAGAGCTTCCTCCTCGCTATTTGCTGGGCCAGGCCCAACGGCCCAACACAATCACCCATGTTTGTTGGTACCGGAACCAGAGCCTATCCCTGTCTGATTACTTGTGCATGATCCAGGTAAAGATGCCTCTCACATTTTATGCTGGTGGGGAGGAGCCATGGGCTGCCCAGGAAAATGTCCTGCTTCCTAACTGCTCACATGAGGATCCTCATCCTCAGAGGCAGACATGTACCATTGCCTTGTTAAGACAGGATTTCCTACTGTTTATGCCTCAAAAAATGGTTCTCTCTGTAAATCTGCCACAATGTGCCATATCCACATTGTTTTTTTCTCAAATTACAAAATTCCTGTGCTGTCATTCCATGCCAGAGGTTTCCCTATCCTGCTGGCTGACTCCAAGGCAGTGGTGTTCCCCTCCCTGCAGCCCCTTCCACGCCGGCTTTGCTTCGTGTAGCTGCCACGTGTTGTTTATCTCCCAGCTCTGCAGTCTTCTGTTTCCTCTCCTGCTTTATTTCCCTTCTCACGCAGTGTGTTCCATGTGGGTTTCCTGCATGTCAGAAAGGGTGGCTGAAGGGGAAGGGACCCTGGTGGCTGTCACCATTCCTGGGAGGACTTTGACACCAGGGAGAAGCGCAGGAGCAGCGTTGGGCTGCAGCAGGATGGCAACCTGTGGTTTCATGGCAGTCCTCTTTTCCTTCTGTGCCAGAACCAGCTCTCTGGGTATTTGCTGAGGAAGTTCAAGAACAGCAATGGCTGGCAGAAACTGTGGGTTGTCTTCACCAACTTCTGCTTGTTCTTCTACAAGACACACCAGGTGGGCAGTTGTAGGTGAGGGGGTGATGGTCAGGGTGTTGGGGGACCTGGGGATCCTTGGCTTTCAGCTCCAGGGGCAAATCAGCACTGTTGGAAGGAGGGTAACAAGGGGAAGAGGAGGTAGCTCATACTGAAGCTGGTCTCTGAAAGGCTGTGGGCACTTCTTGTGGAACTTAATCAGAATTTCCAGTTCTGATGGTGGTGACCTTCTGTGGGTGAGGGGGAAATGTCTCCTCATGCAGTGCTGAGGGCTGTGAGGGACACAGCAGCCTTTGGGGCTTCTTTGCCCACTTCTCTGTGCTGGGCTTCAGCTCAGCCTGACAGGCCCCAGGGATTTTTCTGCCCATGGTGCATCCAGCACGTGCTTGATAATGAACCGTGGTGCAGTGCAATCTTTTCATCTTATTAACCAAATAAACTGCATTAACCCAGTAATTGGGTTATTCTGGCTTCTTGCCTTGAGGTCACATGTCTTTTGTGAGAGTTACTTCACCTTTTTTGTCAGATCTGTGCTTCAAGTTCCATAGAAAGAGTGCAGAGAAGGAGGAGGGAGCCCAGGAGGGGCAGAGGAGCAGAAGCAAATTACTATACAAATTGACAGAAGATGGGGGAAGGTTTAATTATAAGCTGTTGGTGGCCTTGCAGAAGAGTTCTCCTGTTGTCTCCTGAACAAGAGTGCACAGCCCTCCCCTGTGGTACATGGGCTGCATGGCAGGGGTGCCTGGCACTCAGGGCTGGGCTCTTGGGCTCTTGCAGGATGATTATCCCCTGGCCAGCCTCCCCCTGCTTGGCTACACAGTCAGCTGCCCTGTGGAGGCGGATGGGATTCAGAAGGATTATGTCTTCAAGCTGCAGTTCAAGTCCCACGTGTATTTCTTCAGGGCTGAGAGCAAATACACCTTTGAGAGGTAATTTTCTGTTTTCTCTGTCTTGGTTTATAACCTGCTCTTAACTCAGTGGTTGGTCCTTCCATCCCCTCTTTCCTCCTAGTCTGAGTGATCTTCCAGTGCATTCTCAGGAATAACATTCCCTTCTTCTCCCCACCAATGATATTTATGATATTTGGAGATCCCTCCTCTGACAGAACCCTCCTCTGTGTGTGGGAGAGCTGGGGATACACCTGGAGCTGTGAGCTGTGAGCTGTGCTTTGTGCCAGGAGTCTGGGCCTTCCTTGGAGCCAGGGAGGAATGTGGGAGGGGAAGGGCTGTGGGGTGCTCAGCTCCTCCAGCTCTTGGGGAGTCAGATTTCCAGGTTCTGTAAAGAGAATTTCGGTTTTTATCTTCCGTCTCTGGGAGCAGAAGTTACAACACGAGGCTGAGAGCAACAAGTGCAGGGCTTCCTTTCACTTGTCTGGTTTCCCTGTAATTACATTTTCTTGTTATCCTCTATAATTACAATTAATTGCTCTTAGGGGCTTCTACAGAGATGCACCACGTACAAAACTTTGCTGCTGTGTTGAGAACCCTTGCACTGGGTCCTGCCATGCAGGGTTGCATTGGTAGTTTTGGAATGTGGTTTTACTGAGGTGTCACATGTCCCCCTTCCTTGGGAGAGTGTCACACACTTGTGAACAGCTGAGGTATCTGCTACCCGAGCCACAAGTTGTGCTCTTTAATGCACTGGGCTCGTGTTGGGTTTTCAGGGGGAAAATGTCCAATTCATAGTAAATTTGCCTTGCTTTTTTCTCTGTTGCTTTGCTTTCTTCCACAGGAGCAAGGCTGTTACCTATTTCCTAATTTATTGTTAAGAAAAGCAATAATTATTTCAGCTTGTCATCCTTGATAACACTGAGGAGAGAACACAGTGAGCTCTCATGAGAGTTCTCTGGAGCTCAGAGCACTGTAGACTTGTTACTTGGACAGGCAACCATGTTCTGCAGGGTATTTGCCACATTTCAAGCTGTCCCTTTGAAGAGTTAATTTTCCAGAAGACTTGTAAAAGAAAGAAAATTACTGTTTTGGGAGGTTTGGGAAAGAGGTACAGCTCATAACAAAGAACAAGATTACTGTGAGTGGGGGTTAAACATTTCTCATGTCTTTTCTTGGCAGGTGGATGGAGGTGATCAAAAGAGCTACCAGCTCTCCTGCTCGGTCAAGCCTGCTGCTTCCCAAGGAGAAGGACACTCACACAGACTGACGTGGGGCAGAGCTGGATCTCTGCTGGCAACACCAACAAAACAAGCAGGCAGGAACAGGAGGCTCTGGAGTTGACAAAGCAAAGACCCAGGAGGCTCATTTCCCCAGTATGGCAAGTGGGAGTGAGGGGCTGCAGACAGGGATCACATCCATTCCCAATGGTGTGGAAGAGGGTCAAGTCTGTTCCAGCTGAACCTACTTAGAGAGAACCCAACAACAGCAGTGCTGGGTGCACACATCAAGGAAGGGTTCTTGTCCATTGTACCTGTACAGTGACACCTTTACCTGCCCTGAAGGCAGGTACCACCTTTGTTTTACATTTTGACTGGATGATCAGCACACACGGGAGAAAACCAGCAGCTTCCAGGGGTGTAGCTGGCTGGCAGCAGTGGGTGCCAGGGTTCCCTGTCCCTGGTGCTCGTGGGGCTGGCAGCACACCCTGTCCTGCTGCTGCTGTAACCATCAGCCTGCTGGCACAGCTGCCTCAGACAAACAGGAACACAGCATGTGCTGGCTCACACACAGCTCATTCTGAACAGACACTGCAGCTCTCCCAGAACAGCTCTGCTCCTCAGGAGCTGCCAAGGCAGCAGTTTCCAGGCAAGCAGGAAGACTGAGTCTCTGCTGAGCTGTCGAGGTGTTGGTGGATTGTGGATCGGTGCAGGGGGGTGCATGGTTTGTCCTCTGAACTCAATCACTGTTCTCATATCACAGCTCCAGTTTCTTTATCCTGTAGTAGGAGTTAAGTAAGGCACGGGATGGCAAACACTCTCCACTCTGGTGTGGGTGATGTTTTCAAGGCATTTAAGCACTGTAGGAGAACAAACCTCTGAAAGTCACCATTGCTTGTGTTTTTGTCATGCAAAGAAATGAAAATCCCTAATCTATTTCAGTTTGGGGTGGGATCCATCCTCTGTTTCTCTTAAAAGTCACTGGATTCCAGATGCAGCATTGGTGTCTGTGGACTCTATTAAATTTCTGTATTAAATCTGAAATGTTTGCAGCTTCTTCTCTTTGTAAAGCTGTCACCTTTGGGTGCCTCCACAGAAGGACTGACATTCGCTAAGTGCCACAAGATGCTGTTGGACGTGGCTTTGATGGGCTGTGGGGACTCTGATTTCTATTAGATAGAAAAGTGTTTGTGTACTAATGGAAGGAACAATGCAGTGAAGCAGTGAAAGCAAAAGGAAAGTGTTGCACGCTGTGAGGATGGAGGAATGTGGAGATCCCATGGGACAATGGGATGGACAGAGGCCAGCACGAGTGTTCACTTATGGTCTCAAGCATTTGTGGGATGAGGACTGAAGGGAGGGGGAGTCCAGAGGGATTTTCTTGCTTGGCATTTGCATCCTAGAGGAGTGACTGCAGATCCAGCCTTTGCCACCGCTGTCACGAAGACCATTGTCCTATCTAAGTTAAATGTACTTAATTTATTAGCATCTTCATTTATTATTTTTTAATTACCTGTTGTAGGTGTATCCATGTGGATTGATTAGACATGTTATACTGTGGCTGAATATGACTGTTCAAAGTAAATAGCATCTTGATATAAAACTCTCTCAGCCTCTTATTCCTGAGCTCACCATCCCCATTCCTGGGCCCACAATCCCAGGTTCAAGTTACTCAGTAGTTTTCCAGGGTCGCAGTTCACCCTGTACCAAGTGCTCTCCATCCAAAGTGGGGCTCCCACAGTGAGCAAGAGTCTTCCCTTAGGGTTTGTGGGCTGGTGAGTGAATGATCCTTTAGTTGCTTCTGCTGAACCCACAGCTCAGCATCTCTCTTGAAGATGAAATGCCTGAGGTGGGGTCTCTAAACCAGGAGCCTCTGGAAGGACAGCAGGCAACAAAAGTCCCTTCTTGGTTTCAGAATGCCGAGCTCAAATTTATGCATTTAAAGTGCAGAAGCTCAGGCTAGGAAAGCCAAAATTATTGGTATTCCTAGCAAAACTGCCTTACCTCAGTGAACTTTAAAAATTATGAGGATTTCAGTGGTGTATCAGTTCTGTAAAATATTTCATTTTCCCAGAACTCTCCAGGAGTATTTTTGTCTTAACTACAAACATGAGAAGTTTCCTTAACGGGAGCATTAGGCAAGAATAGAAATAACACAAGTCCTTATTTCTTGCAATGGTGTTAAGGTGTATGTAAGGGGGAGATGCAGTTGGGACTGCATGGCTTAAGAGCCATGGTCTGGTCTCACTATTTCAAAGACCATCCAGTTCCACCCCCTCCCCTCCCCTCCCCACCATGGGCAGGGACACCTTCCACTATTCTCAGGTTGCTCCCAAGCCCTGTCCAACCCGGCCTTGGACACTTCCAGGAAAGGGGCAACCACAGCTTTTCCAAGTAGCCTGTGCTACCTGAGCCTCACTACCCTCAAAAGGAAGAATTTCTTCCTACTATTCCATCTAAGCCTGTCCTGCCCGTATGAAGCCATTCCCCCCTTGTCACCCTGGAGCCTTCTCTGGGCTGTACAACCTCTACACTGGGTTTTGCCTCTTCATGCTTGACCTCCATCCAGGGTAACACAGCCCTGCTTCATCCTGACACATTGAGTGTAACAGAGCAGAGCTGTTCTGGTGCCTGCTCCCTTCTCCTCCCGGGTCAGAGAAGTGGTTCTGTTACACCAGTGAAGTGTCTCACACTGGCCCCAGCTCAGCTTTAGCTCTGCTGAAGCAGCAGCAGGCGTGGGCTCCAGGCATTCTGTGCCTGGCACAGAACCAGGGCTGTGCCAGTGGACAAGGGCTGGCGTGCCAGGAGCCAGGGCCTCTGCTGGGCAGGGTTAGTGCCTGCATGGTAGCTGTCAGACTTTCATTTTTATAAGGCACCACTCCAATTACAAGCTGCACCCACCCACCCAGCTCTGCATTCTCACCTGTGCTTCTGCCCTCCAGATGCAGGTGAGGCCAGCTCATCACCACTGTCCTGGCAACAGCCTGCTGAGCTGAGCACGTGGCATTTGCAAAATTCCTCCCAAAAGCACAGTCAGAAGTACATTAATCAGTTCCACTTCTTGGCTCCAAGGGAAAAACAGATGAGGAGCACTGCAGATTGGTCACAACCTGAGCTGTGCCCTTCACCTTTGTTCCTGCCTGGGGAAGGATTTAAACACAATTAAATTTAAACACAATTAAAGTGGCACCTCCAAAGTGTTCATTCTGTCACTGGGGTCACACAAGCTCAGGGTTGCCTGGTTCAACCTGTGCTCATGCAGGGCCACAGCTGTGCAGTGGATTATCCCCAAAGATGGAGACTCCACCACCTGCCTGGACACACCCTGCCCCACCTGGGCCCAAGAGGAAGGCAGAAATCCCCCACAGCCCGAGTCTAAAGACTGCAGATAATGAACAAACTCCAGCAGTGTGCTCCAGTGCACAGCTGTACCTTTGCCAAGAGTGTGGGCTTCCTGGAGTGCCAGCAGAAAAGACTGATGTGCCTGCAGCCGTTATCCTTGCACACACAGCACTTGGCTCTGTCTCTGGGGTCTCTGTTATAGATGCATGAGGAAGATGTGGGGGAAGACCAAGAAGAATGCAGAGAAAAACAGCTGGAACCAATCCTTTTCCCCCAATAACACAGTCACACCAGCCTCATTTGTTTTGTTACTTTATTGAAAGTGGCAGATCCCTTTCAATGTTTTTGAAAACTAAACCCATTGTTGCTTTGAATACTGGGCGAAGGGTGTGGGGATTGTTTCCTTGAAAAAGTTTCCTCGTTACACTGCAGAGCATGCGAGTAACGACACAGGTACCTATCAACACCGTTTGCTACTGCTGTGAACAGCAATTTTAAAAGCAGCAGGGGCCCTTGTGCTGGCCTGCAGCCTCTGCCTTCCCCCTCTCCAAGCCTCCTCTCTGCACATTAACTTCTCCTCCTGAGGGAAAAGTGGGTTTGTTCTGTTCTTCTTAACTGCAAGCTCTGACATACAGGACACTGCTCTGCATCAGAGAGCCCACAGCAGCACCTCTTCTTGACTGTACAAGTTCATAGTGTTGCTGAGCCTGGATTTATCCACCAGGATAAATAAAGGATAGGCATAAGGTAAAGTGAACACCATACACCAGGATCAGGGAACATATGGTCCCCCTGAGCTACTTGCAGCCCAGCACTTAAAATCTGCAGGTCTGAATCTAAGTACCAAAAATCAAGCCTTGTTTCTAACCAAGTGGCCTGTCATTAAAAAAATGCTGAACAGCTCCAGCCTTTGTTCTCAGTGGCTCTGGGGTGAGCCATATCATCCACATACAAACACCCAGACAGAAAGATCTGGGTAACTGAGTTCTTGCTGACTTCATGGGAATCTCTTTTCAGTTAGAGAGCAGTTCTCTAAGCAACCAGCTTATCAGGGGTTATTTTCCTAAGTCTATTTTTCTAGATCTTTAAAATGTAGATTTAAGATCCGTGTGCTTACCTGAATTAAAAATTTGCTTTATAAACTAGTATGATACAGAAAGGAAAACTCCTGGGGATGGCTCTGCTGGGATACCTTAAGCAGCCAACACAGCAGTAGATGCTTCCATTTCTCTGCTACCAAACACCACTCCAGCTTGTCAACTTGAGCAGAGCCCTGGCTGTAGTGAGTCTGGATCCCAGGCTGAAGAAAGCCACAAAGGGAAGGCTGAGAAGGAGACGGAGGCCTAGAGCAGCTTTTGGGAATCCCCAGTCCTACCACAACTGCTGTGAGCCATCCAGTTTATGTCGTCCTATAGAGCACAGGCTCTTACATCAAAAACTGCTACGCAGTGTCCCTCTGGCCTGTGAGCCAAAGCCCTGCTGATGTCTGCAGTTGTTGTGTTCCCCCCACTCCCCTTTTAACCCTTCTGCCCCCTGTGGGCCTGCAAAGCTCAGACCAGCAGTGCCCAGCCTGCTGTCAGGCAGCTTTTGTCAGCTACTTCAGCTGCCAGGAGCACCAAGGACAGGAACTCCACCAGCTCCCACAGCAAATACACCCACTGTGCCTTCTGCTCCCTGGGGACCCAAGGCAAGTTCTGCTGTTGCCTGAAGTAGGTGAACTAAGGCCTAATACAAAATGATGTCCCAGAGCCAAAAAAAGAACAATCAGCAAACCCATCCTCCTATGAAATGACAGGCTGGGAAAGAGCAACCGTGTATCAGCTCAGCTGCTGCAGCACTGGAAAGTGTTGTTACTTGTGTGTGAAGGGCTTGAAGTGATCCTCCAGAGCAACTGGAGAGCTGCTTCGACTCTCCCAGAGGCCCTAAATGCCTGGAGAGCTTCCCAACATCCTTGCACTCACACCAGACTGCTCACAAACACTTCTTTAGGAAGGGCAGGAGACTAAACCCATCAGACTTGCCTGTGAAACATATATCAGTGGAAGAGAATCTCCCTTTTTCCAGCAGCCAGGCATTTACCAGAAACAAGCTGTGAATCAAACCAAGCCAAAATGGACACATCCATTGTAGGAAAACAATTAAAAACTGCATTGATTACATTGTAAAAACAATTAGACCACCCATCTCGGGTTCTGCAAAAGGTCTAAATTGTACTTGCATTGCAAACCCCACCCTGGGTTATCATGGAAACACGGCTAACATGAAGGCTCTGAAATGTCCTGGGGTCCATCACAATGTCACATCCAACAGATGGTGGTCTGGATTAGAGATGTAGTTCTTATGAAGCTGGAAAAAATCCTTCCCCCCTGACAAGAGCAGCAGGGAACAGGAGTGTCAGCGGGCAGAGGTCAGGTGGTTCCGACTGTGTGAAAACCTGCAAGGAAGAGTCAACAAGGGACAACTGCTCAGTGCTGGCTCTTGGAGGCTCCCGCCTGGAATGGTGCCCACAGGCACCCACCAGCAGGGCTGTGCGGGAAGGGCTCAGGCTGGGTGGGTCTGTCCCCACTCCCATTGCCAGTTTTTGCAGTCCTGACAGACAAAACCAGCACTTTTAACAGAAAGCCAAGGTGGTTTAACACTTCTTCAGGCTTTCAAGATTCAGTTCCAACCTAATAAGATGTTTTCAGCACTAATGTTTTATGGAAAGAAAGCAACCAGGTCTTTGAGGTTTTGCAAACCCCTCAAAAAAAACGACTATACTGTGCTTCTGCTCTGCCCAGCAGTGTCATTTCTAGGCTGACAGAAGTGAATGATGCTGAAACATCTACCTGTCTGCAGTCACTCACACACATCTACGTGCTCCTCCTGCTCAGTCTGCCTACCAGTCAGACTACTGGTCTAGCTGCCACAGTGGTGATCAAAGGCTGGATTCAATCTTTTCCAACCTTAATGATTCTGTTCTATTCGATAGGTACTTGAGTTACGAGGCACAAAGATAACCCACAGAAAGAAATGCTTAGAAAGCCTAAGTTCAAGGGTGTAAAGATTGTATAGTTTGGGTTGTGTTTGTAAGGGCAGCCAGAGCACAGAACAGTTTCTTTTGGTATGGTACAACACTTCCAGCCTGCTAACCAGAGAGGAGCCAAATGTAAAGTTTCTGTCATGGTAAGGTGAGGGTGAGATTTAGGATAGCCTGCTGTGAAAGAAGAGAAAAGCCAAATTCATGTTAAATAAAGTCTGATAAATCTGCAACCAGGTTAG